GATTGGAGTCTCTGGGTCAGACTGTGGGTCAGACTGGGTACAACTGTTCGTCAGATAGTACATACCTGATAGGTTCAGGTTTCTATCTAGGTAGCCAGAACTGATAGGTTCAGGGTCTGTGCGTTACCTTAAAGTGTTCTGTGGGAACCAATCTGTTGTATGTGTACGATTGGGACTATACCAAGTTCCAGTATCCTATTTACCTGATCCTTTTATTTACCCTGTTTGTTGTTTCAATAAACCTTGTTCTTTTGTTTATTAAAATCCATTCCTGGTCTGGGTGACTTGGTGGAGCGAATGGTTGGTGGCAGCATAACTACAGGGTGGGATACTCCAGTAGGTCTGGGGTTGCCACAGGCCTAATTTCTTTTGCTCTGCATTTTCTCATAGTGACATATAAAATAATCGCTGATTATTTCAAAATTGTGTGTTTTCTCTATATTGTTTCAAGCATCCATCATATCTTTCAATTTTCTGTGCTGTAGCTGCTACCCGCTGTTTTAATTCTTCCATAGTTTCAACAATCGTTTTCCTTTCTAGGTCATATATTTTACATAGTCTGGCTTTTACTATGGTAACTGTGTTATACATGAGCTGGTTTGTTTTCTTTAGCATGTTGGTCGGGATTGTCCTGATGACATTTGCATCATTCAGTAGATCTTTTACTGGTTTATTTTGTAATTGGCACCAATTTGGGAGCCTTTGTCTTTCTGTGTTCTGGCTAATATGGGTTACTATTTTTCTCCTCAGTGATATTTGTCATTCTGTCAACTCAAAATTTCTGGGTTGTTCCATAAGTTGTTCCTCTATTAATATGTTTTCTTCCTCTATTATGTCTACCTCTACCCTCCATTTGTCTTCCATATTATGGTCATTGTCCTGTGTTGGTTTGGCCACCTTTTCTAGTTCTTGCAATTCCAGTTCTGAAAACACTTTACTCCGGATGATAAACCTTCTCTGGTCCATTAATCGTTGTTCAGTTATGTCACTACTTTGGTTTTCCTTTTCCAAATTTCCATCATTCTTTTTTGAAAACTGGGGGCTGTTGGGTTTGCCTCGCAATAACATTTCATTTTTTATTTTTTTTTCCGGCAAGAGTACAAGTTTTATGTTTATGTTATTCCAGCAGCTTTGCAGCAGCCTGTCCCAGTCCCTCAACAGGGTCTGCTGAGCCCTGTAGCCCATTTGTCACCAGATGCCCAGGGGCTATAGCATCTTGTGCAGTCCTTGTTGACCCAGGCGACGGCCAATCCAATATGAATTTCTGTTTATTTCCTCTCATCATAGTTGATGGTTGGTGGACACAGTTGGTCTGGCTTCTGAGACCTGTCTGATTTGGGAGACCCTTTAGCATAGCTCTCAACCTCACTGGAGCACGCAAGCCCCTCTGCCTCAACAAGGCCTGTGTCCATGAAGGGGATGATGATGATATTGATGATGTTTGTTGTTGTTGATGATGATGTACTTTAGCTGAATTAGAATCAGTTGACATATGCTATAGAATTATCTAGCTCCTCCCCAAGGATTGTGAGGGCTATGAGCACGTGGGGGCACTGCCTGGGAAGCAACAGGACCCTGTCAGCTGATCCTGCAGCTCCAGAAGCACAAATGGATTGCTTCCAACACAAAGAAAGATTAAAAGAGAATCATCTTCCTTTTCAGGAAAGCATCAATGAGACACAGAACACGGGTGGTGCTTAGTGGGTTGCTTATCTGGTTAAGAACTGAAAACCTTCTGAACACTACATATTCAGGAAATGTACTGCAGGGCCCTCTTGTAGGTTTTAGAAAGAGGAAAACATGGGTCTTTTTAAATAAATATTTTATTATTGAGTTTATAAAAGATAAAAGTTTCAGGATAAACTGCAGTGCACCATCCTCATTAATGCTTATAGTCAGGATTGCCCATGTCAATGGGCTTTTAAATGGATATGGAAGCTTTAGCCAAGTGGAGACAAATTCTTCACCTCAATGACAATTGTTTTAAACATTATCAGACTTTTCATTGTCAATTGTAATTGACAGTCTCTTCCATAGAACAAAACCAATCACAACTTTGAAGGATTCTACCCTTGTCACTGATGAAACAGCCCTCCTAGTATTTGGTTAATTTTGCTAATGTGGAGCAGAAGGAGAGTCACGTCTCTGCCACCCATTCTGGCTGGGCTTCCTTTCACACAGCCAGTCATGTGGTTGATCTTGCAACCAGTGCAAGAATGGAGGCTGTTGGAATGGGAAGGCTTTCCCACTTGCATTTCTGCCTTTTATTCAAGCAACAGGGTCTTGACCAGTCTATTAGGGGAAAAAATGCTATGTAGAACATTCCTTTTTGTGTGTTTAATATGGGTGTGTGTCCTTTTTTCTTTCTAGATTTTTTTTAAATGTTGAAATCCATATTTTCTTTTTTTGCATGTGTTCCAGAGAGCAGTGTTGTTTAATGAGGCAAGGCAAAAAACCCAACCCATGCTTAACATTTTAATCCTTAGCATTGTTATTTGATCTCAATAGCTTTGCTTACGATTTAAAAAAAACAGAGTGTATTTTTGGTAACTGAGGAACATCAACTGCTCCAGAGTTCAAAATAGATGTCATATGATACCCATAATGGTGAAGTGTAACTTACCAGACCTGTAAACGTACACAAAGGGCAAACTAAAATGGACGGCAGTACGATACTCTATGCTTTCAATAATATTTATTTTGCCATTTTTGCTTTGTTTTGTTTTAAGCTCTTAATTAAAATATCTTTAGCTTTATTGACCCATTTCTATATTGTGAAAGGGAACAGAAAGGAGGCTGCCAGGATAGCGGAAGAGATCTATGGAGTAGCCCCAGGTAAAAAATTTTCCACACATGCTTACACACACACACAGATACACTATGCTTTTTTCACTGCAATGGTCAGAAATGTGTTTTAATTACTTGATTATCAAAAATGAGGTTGGAAGGGTCATTAAGCATGTGCATGTTTTTACAGATAGAAATGTGAGTTAAAAGTAAATATATGTGTGTAAATATATATATTTACAATGGAGAGGAAAATGTATAAACTTGAAAAAAGAGAAATATTTTTATTTGCACATTTGTGTTGCATTCCTCTGCAGCAATAAAGGTTTCATTGCATATTTAACATAACTTTGTATTCTACTGCACAAACAGATTGCCAGCGATGCAAAAGAGTTAGGATATGTATCTTCTGAAAGGAGACACTTTGAGAAAATTACATGCTGGCACATGTAGTTGGGCTCACTTTGTTTGGATTGATGCATTCTGATTGTTCTTGCTCTCTGTGCCAATCAGCCAGTTTACAACTCCACTGTAAGTGGATGGTGAGTCAGAAAAATCTACATTTGGGCCTTGTGTGAGAAGGTGGACTGGACAACCTGATTTCCTACCAGCTCCACCTTTTTATAATTGATTCCCATAATTATAGCATAGTAGTTTATGGCAGTAAACATATTGAACATACAGGAATGTAGTGTTTTCTTCTATTTAAAGTACATTTCTCAAAAACCCTTTAGTACTTCTTTTCTAAGACTTTGTTTTCAGCTCACAAATATTAACAACTGAGTGTGGTAGTAATTTTAACACATGTATAATCAAATGAAAACACAGAACTCAAAACAGCTTCTGTTTATTTGTTTATAAAAAGGCCCCCTCCAACAATGTAGCTTATTCTGCTCAGTTTGTAACATTTAGTAAAATGGGTTTTTTTCCTGTTGAGTAAGGATAAGTCAATGGAGCCAATTAATCTGGGTCACAAGCAATAGCCAATGATACTGGACACCTGCCCATTCATGCTGTCTTTCGTCTCTGCATTCTTTAAATCCAGGTGTGTTTGTTTTCAAACACATCTGTTTCTTTCACTGAAGCCTTTTCTTCATATGCATATGGAAGATTCCTTAAATCTGTACACACCAAACATTTGCAGTAGCTACCACATCTCCTCTGCCACATTGCCCCTTGCATATCTCTGCTCAGCCAGTATCATCTTTCAAAACACAGTTCTGACTGCTTCACTGCTGCCCTTGATTGGATTACGGGTTCAAAGTAACACCCAACCGTCCAGAGAAGGAGCAAGAGCTGCTCAATTTACCTTTAGAATGTTTTTTTTTAAAAATCCTTTCTCAGATGTCTTCAGTGTCTGGAAACATAAGAGATTCACTCTATGGGAATTACATTTGCCATACGTTTCAGGGAGGTACGTTTTTCTCATGGAAATATACTACTGCATTTCTGCCAATAATTTAGGCAAACATATGTAATATGAGGGATGTACTTATGGGTCTATATGAGAGCGTACAGTTATTTATAGGTTGGAAATGTTCTTTTTGTGGACCATCACATGTTGGCCTAATATGTAGGTTAATGCATCACTTGCTGACAACGTCACAGCTAAAGCAATATTTGCTCATTTGAGCTTAATGGCTTAAGACAGAGCATAACAAGATTTGAGCAGACAGATTCTGACCTAGTTACATTAAGCAGAAGTGATATCGACGAAGCACTAACTGGAGTGGCATTTTGGTTAATACAACTCAGTTTTGGATCTGACTGTTATGCGATATCAAAACAGTTAACATGAGTTTATAGTGCAATCTTTACTGAGAAGGAACAGTGTACTCGAAATACATACAATAACTGTTCTGGGCCTGGAATAATCAGGAGCCTCTTTTGTCATCAGAACTGCCCTTCTGTATGCTGGGTTGATCTCAGATCTGCCAGTAGAACTGGATCTGCCAGTAGAATTGCTGTATTGGCTGAGATCAGCTGGTAGAACAGCTATAAAGAGAGAAGAGAAAGGGAGGAGCAGAGTTAGTTTGGCACAAAATTAGGCCAGGGCCAGGATAGTCCAAAGTAATTTCCAGCATTCCTTGTTTGGGTGGGGTTTGTATTGGCTAGTTAGGGGTGTGCCTTAAGTCACACTATATTTAGTGGGATTTATTCCTAGGTAACTGCATGGGACTATGGAATCCTTCAGCCAGTATGCCCAAAATTTATTTATTTGTTACTAATATGCATTTTTATATTGTACTTTCATCATTTTCATAGGAAAGTTTACAAGAAAGAAAGAAAGAAAGAAAGAAAGAAAGAAAGAAAGAAAGAAAGAAAGAAAGAAAGAAAGAAAGAAAGAAAGAAAGAAAGAAAGAATCAGAATCACCCTGATATTGCTTTCTAACTTTTTTATAAAAAGGTTTGGATAGGAGAATGAGAACACATGAATGCGTGAATGAGAATTGAGGATAGAATTACTGTGAAAATAATACCTGGTTTGTTTTCTCATGCTCTAATGAATCGCTTAATGCCATTTCAGAGCTGCACTGTTTGTGCCTTATATTGCTCACCGACCTTCATCAGTGACTGCCAAGATGTAATAAAATGTTGCATATTATGGAGAGAAGGGGGAATCTTCAGGATGCTGCTTTCCTGTATAAGACGGCGAAATGATGTTCCCTTGGGGACAGAAGTCTGTGAATGTATTGGCATCTGTGTGTTTCTGCTTGCTAGACTCATCTTTTAGCAATATTATTCTAGGTTCATGGGCAGACAGATCTCCCCTTCATGAAGCCGCATTTCAAGGGCGTCTCCTGTCACTGAAAACCCTGATAGCGCAGGTAAGAAACCCCAAGTCCCATCAAGCATTTTCTGTGAATGACAGTAGTAGGTTAATGACACCATTAGTTGCACAAATAAATTATATACGTACACATGGGAAACAGTGTTTGTGAACACTGCAGGAAATGTAAATTTGCAGTATATTTGGGATTCACATTCACATAAGTAGTGCATGCTGCATCTTCTTTACTCCCCACTCCCAAGACATAATAGACCTGTTTGTGCAATGAATTGGTTTCCTGAACAAAAGAGAAATCTCAGAGAGAAAATCAAGATTCTAAGGGTCTCTTTTATTAGCCAAGGGGAGGTACTCAAAGAGATGAAGACCACCATCCGGATAATTTCTTGTTCATACAATGCATTTTAGAGCCAGAGTATTGTTTAACCAACAAATTCTTAAATCAGATGACAGGCAGTGAAATGCTAACTCACAGATGTGACAGCTGTAATGGGTTTGACACAGTCAGAAGTCTCTTGTGTGGATGCAACTGCCTTTGTTCTGGCAGAACCCCATTATACAGTACTGGCTAATCTCAGAGATCTGATAGCAGCAAGATCTGACAGCATAACTGCTGTACTGGTTAAGGTCAGCCAACAGAAGAGCGGGAGAAGCAGCACGGTGAGAGAGGAAGTGAGCTATGCTAGTTCAGACTTAGAGTTACTGTGCCAACACAAAGTACGGCCAAGATGCGTGCAATTCTAAGTCATTTTCAACATCCCTAGGCTGTGAGAGTCTTGGATTCAGGACAGTTTCAGCTGGCCAGGCACCAGATCATCTCTGAATCAGAACTGCACTGTAAAGGTTGAAAAACAATGTTTGTAACACACTTATGAAATCTCATTTCACTGCAATTTTGCTTCTGAAAAGAAACATTAATCATGCGACTAAATATAAATAGTATCATGGGTTGTTATTCTGATACTTAATAGCTAACTGGATAGCTCAGTGGATTAGGTATCTGACTGCAGAGCAGGAGGACGGGAGTTCGATTCCCCGATGTTCCTCCTACAAGAAGAGTTAGCCTATGTGGCCTTGGGCAACCTACACAGTCAGAGCACACCCACAAGTAAGGAAGGGTAAACCATTTCCATCTACTCTCTACCTGGAAAACCCTGGAAAAGGTCACCATAAAAAAAAAGTCAGAAGTGATTTCACAGCACATGATTATTATTAAGTTTAATACATAATGGCCAGAATCCCATTATTTACATATGCTGGCAGGAGTAAAATGGAGTATATTACAGTGAAATTTCTAAGCAAACAGCTGTTCCTCTTCTGCAGCGTGTTATGAATACAGCCTGCATAAAATGTTGACTAGTGAAATGGTCAAAGAGGAAATCTATTGCCTAAAATGTGCTATAAAAGAAACCTGAAACAATCAGTCATTCAAAATACAGGAAGTTTGTTATGTTGTAATTTGCAGATGTATTTCACACCTCATGCATCCAGTTTTTGAATGCTCCAGAGCCTTTGCTCACATTCTGCCCAGTTCTGCACCCATCAGGACTTCTTTTCTCAATTTGCTTGCCTCTTTTCACAAACATTTCCCACAAAACATTTTTCCCATTGAAAACCCGAGTCCACTCAAAAAAATAAAAAATGAAATTTCCTTCATGCGTTCTCTGGGTGTGTCTACATCATGAGAAAAAAACAGAATTGACCCACTGTGAAGTCAGTGTAATCACACCCTCCATTACAAGCACTATTGTTCCTGTTGGGTCCATACTGCAGAAATGAATGCACTGTAGAGAAACTTCCAATGTACTAACAGTTTGTTTAGTTATTATTTAAAGTACTTATCTCACAGTTCCTCACTTAAGCTTAGGTTGCTGCACATCTCCTTATTGTGAAATGTTGTTTTTGCAACAGCCCTATAAGGCAGGTAAAGTGAGGCATGACATATATCCTTAATAGGTTGTATTTGCTAGGAGCAAATAAGACATGGGGGTGGGGAGCACCACCAATTGTTTGAGGTGACAGAGGACACAGCAAGAGAGCGATCCATTAAACCTGGGATTTGAATAGATTTGGGTTGTTTGAAAGCAGAACTTGTATGATTCTGTAAGGGGCCTGCGCGCAGTCTTGAAACATGTAGACAGAGAGATACTGACTGGCCTGTTTTTAAATCTTCTTTTCCCCCATCAAACCTCTCCCAAGAGAGCAGTGTCTGAGCATGGCCACTAGGGATACTGCTGACCTACTTATCCGGCTAATATTGAGGGGGTTATTCACTGATGCCGAAATTAAATCTACTGATTATTTTTTTTGCAATTATTTGGACATTCTCCTTGACTTCCTTCTGAATTCTAGGGATTCAGTGTGAACATTGTTACCATAGATCGTGTTTCTGCTCTTCATGAGGCATGCCTGGGTGGCCACGTTGCTTGTGCAAAAGTGTTGCTGGAGCACGGTGCTCGTGTGAGTACTGAGATATCTGTCACCCTTTTCTGTATGAGAGATGTTACTTCCGAGGGCGTTTAGCCAAGCAATTCTGTGCCTTGCATTCCATGAGGGATGCCCATTAGCAAAATGGAAGGGTTGATATCCCCAAAAATATTTTAACTTCAAACACATTAAAGGCATACACAATGCCTTTAAATCTCTGGTGCAGCCTGTTCAGAATAGACTTTATGGTTCTGGTGCCTCCATCTCAGAAAAAAAAGGTAGAAAAAAATGTGGAAAAGGACAGCCACAACAATCAAGGGGTGGACATTCAGGCAAATGCATATTTCCCATTTTTACTATTTCTTTGCTCCCTTAAAGCAATCACCTTGGTTATATATATATATCCAGTATCCAAATTAATTAATATATATATCCAGTATCCAAATTAAGCTGCATTGGCATTCAAAGGACTAGTCAGCCCTCTTAACAGCCTTTTGCCATCAAACTTCTGCAAGATCTTTTGACGAAGCTTTTGCGAGATCACTGCTTCTAAACATAGGATCACTATTTTGTCTAGTTTTGCCCCCGAGCAAGAGCCAAACAGAGATTTATCAAAAGGGTAGCAAAAATTAATGGAAAAGAAACACTTTTTCTCTCTTTCCTTGTCATACTGTTGGAGTTCAGGATTACACATCAAATCTCGACAGGCAGTCCTTTTTATCCAAATCTTGCATTTATTTGTAATAGCCTTAGATCCAGCAGAGAAAAAAAGAAGACATGGAATTCATTGTCATTACTTTCTGATCCAGCTGCTTGCATGTAATTTAGAAGTTACTTTAACACACAAAGAATTACAAGGAGTCCCTGTTTTAATCCAGCAGGATTTTTGCTTCAGAAGTAAAACCAAGTTTTTGCTGTTTTGTGAGAGCCCAAAGAAATATATATATACATTGGTCTTTAGAAATTTGCAGACTATAATTACTCCAACCTCCTCTGCCCAGTACTGCTCACCAGAATGTTTGTCTTTAATTTGAAAAATACACATTTTAATTTCTAGTCTAAATAAGTTTGGACCAAGACTTGGGGGCAGAGATGATGAGGTCATGATGGGAAAAATATTCAGTTGGAAATTAGAATCTCAGTCCCAAACAGAACACGGAGCAGTCTCTTTTTTAAAAAGTACAACTTCCATCATCTGCCAGACTGCCTGGCTAATGGATAAACCAGCTAGTGGTCGTTCTGGGAGTTGTAAATGAAAAAGGCAACTTTTCTAACCCTTAGTCCCAGATTGTGGTCTAAAGTCACATTATACTGCCAACTGGCTGGATCTAACTGGATCTGATTGTGCTGAGTACCAGCTATCCATGTGGATTATGGGTACCCATACCTGTAGCATTCCATGGGATAAAAATATTTTAAGAAACATATTTTACAAACATATTTTACAATCAGTGAAACATGCCTTCTAGTCCGTTTGGAAGTAATTTGTGTCTGCGAGCTAAACCTCCATTTTATCTGAAGAAAATGTCAGTATAGCTCAAAAACGTGCAAATGTTCTAATAAACATTGTCTCTGTAAGACTACTTATACTATCAATGTTGTTTGCATCAGGAAACAGTTTATATTGATGGTCAATCTTATATAGTAAGACAGAGGGAAATTTGAATTCCCTCCTTCTAAAAGATGCCTTGGATGCATAGTATATCTTTCACACCGAGCCTCATGAGGCCACAATACCATAAGTTATTTGTAACATAATTCTCCAGTTACTTTCCTTAAGTGGAGATAATGATTCACATACCATGTGTAATTCTGTAACATATTAATAATCTGGGCTTGAAGATAAAGCAAGTTCACTGAAAGTTCATTGGCACAAACGACTTGAATCTCTAATGATATCCATCTTTTGTCCAATCCTGACCTTGTTCTGCCTCGTAGGTCAATGCAGCTACCGTAGATGGGATCACACCTCTGTTCAATGCGTGCTGCAGTGGCAGTGCGGCGTGTGTCAACATGCTGCTTGAACATGGTGCCAGGCCACAAATAGAGAACTATTCTGCTTCGCCAATTCATGAAGCTGTAAAAAGAGGTAATGATAGGACTGAATTGGTTTCACTGGAAACAAGACTCTTGAATTCTCTACACAGCAGGGCCAGGCCAAAGTATTTTGCTACCTGAGCAAAGATAGTGCTTTCTTCTGCTCCATGTACAGAAGCTAAACCAGTTGGACTGGCAGCTGAAACTTCAACTCTGGCAATTATATAACATCCTCCCAACACACTAGAGGACAGCAGAGTAGTTAAGAGGGTGGAGGACAGCATTATTACAGAGAGAGTTTTGTCTTTGTGGGGAAGAGAATGGAAGAGATGAATGCTCCCAGTAATGTGCCTCCTGGGGCATTTGTCCCACCTTGTTTAATGATAAATCTGGGTCTGCTCACAAAATTTATGAAGTTCAACATAGACTGACTAGAGTTGCCACTCGTTATTAACAATAAATGAATCAATTCCTGGTCAAGTCATCCCACAATAATACCACCTTCTAGTGTTTCTAGGCCAGATTGTTGAAAAGATAGTAAAAGAAAGCAGAGGCACTAAGCTTCATTGATAATACAGTACAGTACTTAAAAAGATTAGGGGTCCGGGTATGACCTTATTCATAAGCACAGCACTCACTGGATAGCTCAGTGGTTTAGGTTTCTGGCTACAGAACTAGCAGTTGGGATTCAATTCCCTGCTGTGCCTCCTGTGAGTAGAGCCAGCCTGTGTGGTCTTGGGCAAACTGCACAGTCCCAGGAGGCCCCCCAGAAGAAATGAATGCTAAACCACTTCTGAGTATTCTCTACCTGAAAAACTCTGGAGAAGGAATGCACAAGTCAGAATTGGCTTGATGGCACAGGATTATTACAGTGGTGCCTCGCTTGACGATTCGTCCCAGCGAAATCGCTGTAGAAAATGTCGTCAAATGAAATAAAACAACCCATTGAAAGGCATTGAAAACCGTTCAATGCATTCCAATGGCCTGAATACCTGCTCGTCCAGCAAAGATCTTCCATAGGGGCGGCCATTTTCGGTGCCTGTAGTGTGAAAAATCAGTCCTAAAAACAGCGGGGGGGGGCATTTTCTTCAGCCGGTGGCCATTTTGAAACCCGGTGATCAGCTGTTTGCTGATCGTCGTAAAGCGAAAATCAGATCCTGAAGCAGGGAACCAATCATCGCACAGCGAAAAAAAAACCCATTGTTTTGCGATAGCAAAAGCGATCACAAAAACATCAACATTAAGCGTTAAATGAGGTAATCGTCCAGCGGGGCATGACTGTATTTATATCATCAAAGACTTTCTGCCTTCTCCTAAAGATTATGGTGTATCCTTCCTGTCTGCATTTTCAGCTTTATTTTATTTTGCATAGCCTTTGTCCTGTAGGCACCCTCAACCGGTGGCCTCCTCTTCCTTGTTTTTAACATTTAATAAATATATGTAAATACATTGAAGAAGACGAAAGGACAGGTGTGTCTCCTGCACTCCTATAGTAGCACAGCAAGCTTATATTTTTATTTGTTTTTGCCTAGGCCACAGAGAGTGCATGGAAATCCTTTTAGCCAATGGTGTGGATATGGACCTAGAACACCCAGAACATGGAACACCTCTTTACGTGGCCTGCACATACCAAAGGAAAGAGTGTGTCAAGAAACTTTTGGAACTAGGTACTTAATGTGTGTGTTGGGGAAGAACATTCATAGGTGCTTACTTGGAAGGTTCGATGGGCTGTTGCCTTTCCAAAACTCGCAGCAATCCAGAAGACCACTAGGGACATCTGCAAGACCAGAAAAAGCTATGTAGAGTTATTGCTACCTTGACACATGCATAATAATCATTTATTAAGTTGCAATATCAAGAGAAACCTTCTGTGTATGAATTGAGACATTGCAAGTGAGGCACAGATAGATTCTGTGTTACCCAGGGCATCATACATTCAGTGGAGCCAGGGGTAAGCAGTCAGTTGTCAGAGATCTCATGGTGCTCATGGCTGTATGAGCAGGCTTTCTGCATATCAAACGAGATAGGAGGAAGCAGAGAAGGTGGTGGATCCCATCTTCTAGTAAAGTTAGCACGTCATTAAAAGAACAACAACTTTGAAAGGCATCTCTTTGTTGTAGCACAAGGTTTTTCTCTCTCTCTTCCATAGCTTACAAATCAGCTTGCTTGTTTTTTATGATTGATCATTGAGAGATACATTGTGATTGTCACCAACCCCTGCCATGGTGTGGGGAGGGCTGGGGAGTCCCTTCTCCATCGTGGTCTCTATAAATTCCAAACTCCAGGAGCTGCTTGGATTTGACTTTATTGAAGTAGGGGAATGGGGTTACAGAAAAGGAAGCATGCCAGCTGCACCCCATCCCACCAGTCCACCGTGAGGCTGAGCTGGCTCCACTAGTCCGCCACCAAGTCTAGACCCTGCCCAACCCCACGTTTCTATCACTGAGGTTGGGCTACTCACAGTCTGCTGGTGGCACTGGGTTTTAAGCACAGCCCCGAGCCATCCCAACCCTCCAATGTTCAGTGATGACCAAATTTCCTACTGCTGCTCCTTCTGGTGCTTGCATCTACATTGCCTCCATTGGATTGGAGTGGGGGGTTCAGCTGCCCCACTGGTCACCACTACCTCCACAAGGCAGATGCCAGAGGTGAGGATACTGGCAGGCTAAACATTGATGCCCCTCTTTTGCATCCTCTCTCCTTTAGCTGCGTTAACATCACCCAGCTCCCTGTTCTGCAACAGGGAATAGTCCACTTCCCTTGAGGCACAGAAGAAGGGGACTAGATTATCCTCTGCTTCTCGTCACTTCTGTGTTCCATTACAACTCCCATCAGGACCAGCGAGCATAGCAGATGTCCAAAATATTTGGAGATCGCTTGCTTGACTTGTGTATCAGTGGTCCACAGAAACAAATGAGCCAGCAGTTTTGCAATGGCATAGCAAAACATTCTCACCCCAAAGATGCAGTTTTCAAGGCTTCCGTGTTCGCACAATTAATATGAAAATAAATCCCACACTTATCTTCCAGTGAGCTATCAGTGAACAAAATCAAGCTATTATAGTTTCTGGAGCTGTGATACGTCATCTGATGAAAAACAACTATCTTTTAATTTTTAAGAGACTGCTACTTATATTTCTTAAGCAGAAGTCCTTGTATAGGCATAGGACTTCTGGAAACAGAGGGGAAAGGTACCATAATTGTAATTATTCAGTGTTCAAGATGCTACACATTCAATATCTTGTGCTTCTTACAACAAGGTAAGGAAAGTAAGTATTACTATTATTCTCACGCTGCGGATGGAAGAGTGGGAGAGTGCCTGATTTCAGGGTCAAAGTGTACATTATAGACAGCACCTGACTAGAAGCAAAAACCAGGTTAATCTTCTAGATACATGCTCATGTCAAAGCTGTCACACATGCAAACAAAAGTTATATTTACCTTTATGAACGATCATACAAGAAAGCAAACCAATCTGTTTGAAAAACTCCTGCTTTGATAATAGAGTATCTTTCAGAACATAAAGAATTCTCTCCTCTGACCATGTGCTATCTGTAATGCCTAACTGGCCTGTACATGGCAGAGGCAAAACTTGAACTCAGGACTTTTGCTTTATTGTTAAGTCGCTACCCTACATCAGCTGCTACTAGTTTTGGTTTGTTCTTCATTTATAGATGTATTGAGCTTCTCCTTTTTTTCTCCCTCCCTTTTTATTTCAGTTGTACAGTATATATATGCACACATGCCTATCTGTCTATCAAATATCTCCCCAAATGGCAATAAAAATAAAGGCGCCCTTGGGGAGACAGCACTACTGCAAAGACAATTAGCAGTTTTCTTTTCCAGGGGGCTGTCCTTTGCACGAGAGGCCACATGCTCCATTTTATAACTAATGCACAACCAAATAAGTGAAGGAGAGCTTGCTGGAAGAGAAATATTTACACAACTGCACTTAGACATTCACTTAGGCAAATAGGATTCTGGCTTTAGTTATTACATACTTAAAACATGTGTCTTAATCAAAAAAAGTAATTTACTGTTGTGGCATCTGCCCAGGTCATGAATATTCATACGTTATCTACATAGACCAATGGGAGTGCTTGGGTTTTAAGCACAGCCCCGAGCCATTCCAACCCTCCAAAGGACAGTTTGTAATGTTCAGTGATGACCAATGGATTTGGAATGGTGCAGACCTTGTGTGGAAAGGACAATTACACTCTTTTCGCTCTTTCTGTGTCACCCCGTCTGACCTCCGTTCCTCCGTTGTCTTAGATGATCTTCGAGAGTAGGGTGATTCTTTGTAAACAGATGCATAACAAACACTATTTAATGAAGACATTGATCAAACTAAGGATTCGGTTTCCATTTCGTCTCACTCCCTTGCTTCCCGGTAATGCTAACCAGCTGGCTTTCATGTCCCTGCCTTCTTTTCAAGGAGCTAGTGTTGACCTGGGTAGGCGACTTGACACCCCACTTCATGCAGCTGCTACAAAATCCAGTGTGGAAATCATCAACTTGCTAACAGACTATGGGGCCAACCTAAAGCGCAGAAATTCAGACTGCAAATGTGCTATTGATCTTGCTGCTCCAAATAGCTCCATTGAACGAGCACTTTTGCTTCAGGAAGGTAACCAATGGTTCAGAAACTTCCCCTTCCCATTCCTTGCCTGTTGCCCAAGCAGATCCTTATGTCTTGTTTGGGCATATGGATGTCTAGGATTGACTTCAACTCTTTTACATTTTAATTCTGTATAACAATGATAGTATGCTTCTGATGGCTTCTCTGTCCCTCTCTTTGTGTGTGCGTGTGTGTGCGCGTGCATACACGCGCACGTGTGGCAGGTGGAGGGGGAGTTTAGATAGGGAGTTAGTCCAAGGAAGTTAGGGAGATTGAGAGTTTTGGGACTTTGGGCGGGAGGGCAGTGGTCGAGAGCGGATAAAGGAAAATGTTTAAGAGTTAACAACATTGCTCATCCTGCCAACATCTGTAACAATTAACAATTTCTATTTGGTTGTTTGAAAATGACATATGGCTTAGACCTCAATTATTAATAATAGGTAATGTTGATGTAATCCACTGGTGGCAGCTGAGGGGCACGTAGCGTGAGCTCTTAGTTTGGTGAAACACACAGGGGCCACGTGGAATGGTGACAACTGTCATTACCAATGGATTTGGAATGGTGCAGACCTGGTGTGGAAAGGACAATTACACTCTTTTCACTCTTTCTGTGTCACCCCGTCTGACCTCCGTTCCTCCGTTGTCTTAGATGATCTTCGAGAGTAGGGTGATTCTTTGTAAACAGATGCATAACAAACACTATTTAATGAAGACATTGATCAAACTAAGGATTCGGTTTCCATTTCGTCTCACTCCCTTGCTTCCCAGTAATGCTAACCAGCTGGCTTTCATGTCCCTGCCTTCTTTTCAAGGAGCTAGTGTTGACCTGGGTAGGCGACTTGACACCCCACTTCATGCAGCTGCTACAAAATCCAGTGTGGAAATCATCAACTTGCTAACAGACTATGGGGCCAACCTAAAGCGCAGAAATTCAGACTGCAAATGTGCTATTGATCTTGCTGCTCCAAATAGCTCCATTGAACGAGCACTTTTGCTTCAGGAAGGTAATGAATGGTTCAGAAAGTTCCCCTTCCCATTCCTTGCCTGTTGCCCAAGCAGATCCTTATGTCTTGTTTGGGCATATGGATGTCTAAGATTGACTTTGACTCTTTTACATTTTAATCCTGACCTCTGTATAACAATGATAGTATACTTCTGGTGGCTTCTCTGTCTCTCTTTGTCTCTGTGTGTGTGCGCACGCGTGCACACATGTGTGTGTTCAGTTGGCGAAACCTGCAGCTCCCAGCTGTTGCCTATTTTTCATATGAAAAATAGCTTGCATTTTAATGTCTGAGTCAGTTTAACTGAACACTAGAATTTGTATTAGCATGATTGGGGCTCAAGAGGTTCTTTATTGCTTTAAATCATGGTGGGCAACTGTGCCTCTCCAGATGTTTTTCAGAGTTCAGTTTCCATAGTGCTTCACCATTGAAAACACTGCATTGGGCTGATGAGAAATGCAGGACAAAACATTGGAAGGACCATAACTATCTGCCACTGAGTTAAATGTTAAATCAAATCTCTACAGACAATTTATTTCCAACAATGAGTTTTAGTTGATGGTATTTTACAATTTTTTTACATTTAGCTGTAATTCACATATAAGGTTCCTGATCCCACTGTGAACTAACTTTTTCCCATTAATATATACTTTGATTATAAATAAATGTGTATGCTTCAATTCCCACTATTCTGTTTCTCTTTTCCTCCAGGCCCCCCTAGACTTGCCCAGCTTTGCCGACTGTGTATTCGAAAGTGCTTGGGCCGATCCTGTCTTTATGTCATCCACCAACTACACCTTCCTGAGCGACTTGAAGATTTTCTTTTGTTTCGATAGCTTCATAGCCGTCAGCAGGCTGACAACAAGGAAAAAAGAAAAAAAATGTTCTTATATTAAATGAAGGTGGAAAATCAGCAAAGATGTTATTCCTTATTATAGGCCACATAGCTATGTAGTGGGCATCAACTGAGTGAAGGTGACTTATTCTGGGCATCCTTTGCTACAGAGAATCCTTTCTATAATCTCTTGGTCTACTTTTCATTTAACATTGGAGCCCTAAGTGAAGCAGCTTCCTCCTGTAATTACAGCAAAATATATCTAACATTTTCCTGATACACGTGGGAAGAGGTCATTTATTCTGATTGCAGACAATAACCTAGCAGCAAATGAATTCATATTTCAGACAAAAGTTCATTTCAAAATGAACACTACAAACTGGAAGAGGCCATTATAGTCAGTGTTCGTATTTGAGGTCATCCATTTTACTGCTGTACCACCCTGTAGGATTCAACAATGATGGACATCAATTATCCATTGTGTTAGCACCATACATGGATTGGTGATTGAAGAAGGAGCTAGGGCAAGTATGTTTTGGGCGGACACAAAATGTAAGCGGGGGGGGGAAGGGGTACCCAATCTGATTCAATTTATTCTGTCTTTTTTTAAAAAAAACAGCAACACTATAGCCTATTAGTGAAAATTACATCCCATGGCTATTTTATCAATTTTACATGGCTGAAGGCCACACAGAATACATTTTAAAACATTTTGCTGAAATTAATTAACTAGATATAGTATTAGGAATGCAGACTGCATCACCGTACCCAGAAGAATACTCTAAGAATTCTTTAATGGGGCTAATAGTGGCGCAGCTTTAAATACTCTTCCTTACATTAGTCGAGTAAATTAAAACAAAATTTCCCCTGCTCATTGTTAAAGAAATAACTTGAAATACCCTTTTAATTGGTCTTTTATTAATGTATAATTAAAATAATTCACGATTGCCCGTGAACATAGGAAGAGCTGCTGTATCAGATCAAAAGCTTATCTAAAAGACCCCCCCCCCAAAGAAAACACCAAAGTATGCTGCTAAAACAGTCTCTGGGCGTTATATAGTTTAATTCTGGAGGCTACACGTTTCCCTACAGTGAGCTGAGTACTCAGTTTACCAACTTTGGAATAATGGAAGGTTGAGTGAACCTCAAGTTGGCTACCTGGGATTGAATCGAGGTCATGAGGAGAGTTTTGGCTGCAGCACGACAGTTTAACCACTGTGCCACAATGCTCCTGTCTACCCCAGCACCCTGTTCCACACAGCAGCCATGGCCTGTTAGACACCCTTGAGAAGCCTATAAGCAGGAAATGAAGGCAATAGTCATCTCCATCTGATATTGCCCAGCAACTGCTATTCAGAGACATGCTTCTTCTGGCCCTGGAGGCAAAATAACACCATCATGACTAGCAGCCAAATGGCTCTCGCCTCTATGAATCTGGCTCATCATCTTTTAGAGCCATCATATTTGGTGGCTATCTCCAACACATTATATATTCAGAGCAAAGGAAAACACCCATAGCTTGTATTAGAGGCTGACTACGCAAGTATACTAAGGGACACGGTGGCGCTGTGGGTTAAACCGCAGAAGCCTTTGTGCTGCAAGGCTGGAAGACCAGCATTCAAATCCACACAACGGAATGAGCTCCTGTCGCCTGATTTTAGGTCCACTGCAGGGATGGGCTGGTTTGCTCCTAAAGATGGTGATGAGATGAAGTCTTTCATGGAGTAAACTATTGAGGAGTTTATAATTTATGGTCAAATTCCCTTGTGAAGGAAAGCAGGAGGAAAGTGAGCCGTCCTGAGCAATAGAAGCAGCAAAGAAGGAAAAGGGAAGCAGTGGGAGTAGTGAGGCGACAGGTGAAAGAAATCTTAATAGAGGAAAAAAAGGAAGATAGAGGAGATGAAGGGACAGATAGAGGTTTGTCTGGTAGAGGAAGGAGAAATAGGAAAAGGGGAGGAGCTAAAATGTCGGTATGGGAAGAGAGTATAAAAGATCAAGGGGAGAGGAGATTCGGGGTAGATTTGGAAGATGAGGGAATGAGGAGGAAAGAGGAGAGAGATAAGAGAGATGCAGATACAAATTATGAAAAAGTGTGCTGGCTTTTGAAGGACTTTCCTAACTGGAAGATTGGAGAGTTGTTGCTGGATCCGGAGCCAAAGAAAGAAGGAAAGACAGTATATGAAATGCAGGAATGGACTGTAATCACTTTCCTGCCAGGCCAAGGACGAGGCAAGAGGGTGATCAGACCAGACCAGACTACAAACCACCAAAGGAAGGAGACTGGGCTCGACACCCATGTTGTGGCACCATTTGTGCGGGGAGGAGTGCCCCACTACGGAATCCCACTAATCGCAAGTGTTTTGACCCGGCACCCCAATGAGCTACCTAGATTTTTAGAAAGAACTGACCTCTTCCAGTTACGGACCCTGGCCTGATTTATCACCTTTCGATCCCATTGAATTAGTTGTAGAAGGGCCAAAACTTGAGAAAATCGAAGTTGTGACTGTTACAGATAAGTCTCAGTCGTTATTTCTCACCAAAAGTGAGGAACTGCCACAATATTCAAATGAACCCGATCCCATCCCATTTACTACACAGTAGAAGTACGGAGATCCAAAGAGGAGAATACCAACAAGTTTCCCCGAGTCCAACCCTATTTTATTAGCTAGCACTTGAAGTTTCAATAACTCACTGAGATTTTTGTAGGAGAAAGAATTTTACTTTCTTTACTTATAGTTACTTGAAATTACAGACTTGTGTATGCTGCTTTCTTTATTGCACTCATACCTAATCACCAACTGAACAGATTAACAGCAAACTACTGCCACCAGCTATGAAAAGAGAGGAAAAGAAACACTTAGCAGAAAGGCAGGGCTGGAAGAAAAAAAATTTATTAGTGTTAGTACAATCACCAGAGCCCAGAAAAGTCCCTCCCAATCACACAAACCAGAGACAGCATGCAGGGTTGCAAACAAAACTCCAACAAATCTTGTATTAACTCTAAAAGGATTTTGGCCAATCTGTTGTTTTTAATTCTAGGAATACCATTGTTGATTAGGAGCATGTTAACAGCCTGTTATTTGTTCATTAAAATATCAGTTACAAATGACAACATTCTTCCAAGTGATCCCTCCAAAACAATGTTTACAGATAACTAGCAACTGTGGCATGATATAGCAAAACATTGTTACTTATTACAAATGATACTACTATTGTTTTACAAAATAATCAAAATACTGTGCTAGACATAATGTTGCTATCTGCAAAAGTTCTTTCCAAGCTCCAAAAGCTGTTTGCAATTTACTGTACACAACTTTCACATATAATTCTCAGACAGCCCCTATTATTGCTGAATGTTCAAAGTGTATTTCTAGTTTTATCATGGTTTATACCATCAGTGAAGGGTAAGAGTTGCTTGCATGATTTTCTGCTTCATGCACAAAAATAACTCGGCCTGCTTTAGGTACTTGACTCAGATGCATGTGTGTGGCAGGGGAGGCATTTGTCTTTTGCCTCAGGCTGCAAAATTGCTTGGACCGGGCCTAAAACATGTTAAAATTAATGGGAGCAAAATGTTTGAAAAATCACAAGTTGAGGAGCTGCTGTCTATATAAGGGTGGCCTAGTGTGAGCTGCCAGCACCCAGAGCAAGTATTGTGCCCCCTAACCAATGGACCAGCTGCTGTTGCTGCTTTTCACAGTGCCCCCTCCCTTCGTTCCTGATAAGAGCACCCCCAAGGCACCCCCCCTCCATCATCATCCCTCCTCCTCACCTACATCTCACTGGGCTCAGCACCTGCTTCAATGCCTGCTGAGGCTCCTGCCCTTCCCCTTTCTGCAGTACCCGCACAGCTCAGCTCCTGCCACCAGCCGAGCAAGAAGAAGCTGCTGTCCAGGCTCAGTGCTGCCAGTAGTTTGATGGTGGGAAGAGGCATGGTGGCACCCAGACCTCTGGTGCCCCCATCCCATCCTGCATGGCTCTGACTGCCCAGCAGCAGCAACTGCACCCCTTCCACCGGCCTCGGGAAGGGCCATAAGATGGAAGCTACCACTCCTCACTTTCTGTCATCAGAGTGGTATCATCTGCATATCGGAGGTAGTTGATATTTGTTCCGGCAATCTTAATTCCCATTTGGGATTCATCCAGCCTTTCACATAATGTATTCTGCATATAAGTTAAATAAGCAGAGAGACAATATACAGCCTTGTCCTACTCCTTTCCCAATTTTGAACCAATCAGTTGTTTCATATCCAGTTCTAACTGTTGCTTCCTGTCCCACGTAAAGATCTCTCAGGAGGTGGTCAGGCACTCCCATTTCTTTAAGGAATTGCCATAGTTTGTTGTGGTCCGCACAGTCAAAGACAGTCAAAGACTGCGTAGTCAATGAAGCAGATGTTTTTCTGGAACTCTTGAAAAAGAGTTTCTCCATAATCCAGTGCATGTTAGCAAGTTGGCCTCGAGTTCCTCTGCCCCTTCAAAATCCAGTTTATACTTCTGGGAGTTCTTGGTCCACATACTGCTGAAGCAATAGGATTTTGAGCATAACCTTGCTAGCGTGTGAAATGAGTGCAATTGTACAGTAGCTGGAGCATTCTTTGGCACTGCCCTTCTTTGGGATTGGGATGTAGACTGATCTTTTCCGGTCCTCTGGCCACTGCTGAGTTTTCCAAACTTGCTGGCATATTGAGTGTAGCACCTTAACAGCATCATCTTTTCAGATTTTAAATAGTTCGACTCGAATGCCATCACCTCCACTGGCCTTGTTCTTAGCCATGCTTTCTAAAGCCTACTTGCCTTCATTCTCCAGGTTGTCTGGCTCAAGGTCAGCAACCACACTATCTGGGTTGTCTGGGACAGCCAGATCTTTCTGATATAATTCTTCTGTGTATTCTTGCCACCTCTTCTTCATGTCTTCTGCTTTTGTGAGGTCCCTACAATTTTTGTCCTTTATCATGTCCATCTTTGCACAAAAGGTTCCTTTCATGTAAGCCGCCCCGAGTAGACGTTGTCTAGAGGGGCGGGGTAATAAGTCTAATAATAAATAAATAAAATAAATAATATTTACAGTTTTCTTGAACAGATCTCTGGTTTTTCCCTTTCTATTATTGTCCTCTATTTCTTTGCACTGTTTGTTTAAGAAGGCCCTCTTGTCTCCCCTTGCTATTCTTTGGAAGTCTGCATTCAATTTTCTGTAACTTCCCCTATCTCCCTTGCATTTTGTTTCCCTTCTCTTCTCTGCTATTTGTAAGGCCTCGTTGGACAGCCACGAATTATACCTGTTATTAATTCACACACACAAACGCACACGCGCGCTCACACACAGAGAGACACACACGTGTCCAAAGAACTACTTTTAGCACCACATTTTGTTTGGTGCTTGTTAAACAAGTGTGCTTGTATTCTTGGTTGGCTATGCTAACTATGTTCATATTTGATAATGGCTGCCTGCTCCTTTAGTATATGTTAATATTTTTCTTTCCTGATGTTGCATTGGATTTTTAATCTTTTATTTTTGTTTACTGTCTGATGCCTGCTTTGCAGAGAATTGTGGCAGTCAAATTAAATGTGCAATCCGGTAAAAAGAAAGCAAGGGCCCCTAGAACTGTTCCAGAGTTCAGGAAGGATTTGTGGGATGCTAGGCCTCTCCCTTCCCCACCCCATAATCCTAATAGCCTCAAGGCTAAGGTCATGAGTCGGTGCTGTTTTCTTTGTCTTTTTGTTGCAACAGGGGAGTTGCCAGCCATCTTCCAAGAGCCAGTAAGGTGACAAGCCTGCTATGCGTTATTAATTTCTATTTAATCAAAATGTGCAAAGTACTCAGTGTAGCACTCCTCCTTTCAACTGATATGGATGGAAGAATGGAAACCACAAACTTTTAAATTTATGGGCCGGTTTAAGGGCATCCCATCCCACACAGTCCCATATTATGTACCACCCTGAGTACCCTTAAGGTTAGTAACTTTACAAAAGTAAAAATCGGAACCAGGAAAAGTTCATTTCTTGGGTGGCAAAATCCAGATTCCTTTAATGGGCGTAGCCACTAATTCCACACTGGCTTGATAGAGAGAAGCTGGGGCTGTAGGCTGAAAGAGTAACTTTCCCAAGCTTGGCAATGCAGTACATTAATCACGAAGACCGGTCAGCTTTGTGCTTTACATGCCATAGGATTGCCCTCACAACTCAGGGACCTTGCAGGTGTGCAGAACTACAACACCCATCATTCCTGGGCAGGATGATTGGATTTGTAAGCCCACCCATCTGGAAGGCACTAGATTGCTGAAGGCCACCATAGGGTACACATCGGACCAGTCAAAAGCACCAGTCTCTTAACATGTGGTTCCAATAATGTTGTACTACTGCTTTATTGCCAAGAGCATGCCCATAGCCAGCCATGCTGTTTTCAAATGTGCAATGTGTGTGTGTCTCAAAAGCACTGTAAACGGTGCCTTGTGATACAGGCAAAAAAAGACACCACCAAACCCACCCCCCCCTCCTTTCCTTTTTTTCTGTTATAAATCCCCTCAAGGCAGAATTTGCTGAGCTAGTTAAACTGGCTCTCCCTTTTTCCTCTCTTGCTTTTTTGGCAACTGAGAAGTTCCTTTCTTACAAAAACAGAAGGGAGTCTTGCTGATTGGCCAGTGGTGCTGGGAAGGAAATGACATCAGCCATATCCCCCCCCCTCTGCTCTATGTCCCTGGAACATTCTTGTACTTTTTAATTCAGCTAATAGTAAGATCAACTTTGTACTTTTTAAGGTTTTCAGTGAAGCAGGAATACCACCTTATCTGGCTGACTGTGGACCTGGAGCTGGCACTTCAGCCCCAGCCCTCTACCAGGTTATTGCTCCACCTCACTCCCCGCTCCAACTAACTGCTGTACACACAGGCTTTCAAACAGACCACTAACAGAACTTGAGCGCGTGTTTGTTTTTTTTTAAATCCAGATGGAATTTGAACTCCCATGATCTGAACCGTGAAGTGAAATAACAGTAGTGAGGCTGTCCAGTGTGGGCAATGGATGAGGAGGCAGCAAATGCAGACGCTAGCAGATCCCCGGCATCAGAAAACCAGCCTCTTGCAACCGACCTACCAAATCCATTGATGGGTGGTAAGTAATATCGTTGTGATTTACTAGGCAAAGGGGGTGGGTGAGTGGGTGAGAGGGATCCTGTTTCAAACTGCAGATGAAGAAGACTTTAGGAGATGTGAAGTGTTATTCTAACAGTATTTATTTATTTAAAACCAGAAACTCAAAAATGTTCATTTGTTTTACTTCTCTTCCTAGACTCCCACACCAGCAGGGTTGGCTGGGGAATTCTGGGAGTTGGAGTCCAAAAAAGTAACGTTTCTATTTAGAATATTTTGCATGCCGTCTTTTGGAATATCTAGCATCAAGCAAGTTGCAATGAAAGTTGATGGCAACAAAATGCCCCAAAAGGAAAGTGGCATTCAAACACCAAAAGCACTGAAGCTGAAATCTTACAGAATTTTACAGAAAATATTGTGGTACCTGAGGGGACTTACTTCCGAGGGGAGATGCATAGGACTGTATTACAAAATACTCAGAATATGGTGGGTAGCTTGGAAGAATACAGCAACCAATTTTCGGTTCCCTATGCCCACCAAAAACCATAGCAGCTTTGAAAAGGAGGAAAAAATTATAAGGAAAAAAAATAGAAAAGTAAACCAAATGCTGGACATCCAGTTCAAGTTTTATTTTGGAGTATAGGGGCGTTCCTTGTTGTTTTGTGTTTGTCGCTGGAGCTGGTTTGGGCAGAGGAGCATCGAGATAATTTTTTATGGCTGCATGAAGTCCCTGGATGACACTAAGCCCTAACAAAACAGGGTGGGGTGCACCATAAAACTACTTGTGTAGAAGTAGTTTAAAAGCTTCAAAGAATAGAAAGATTAAGGTGCTGCTTATCTAACTCATGAATTATTTTGTTGAGTTCCGTTAAGTAAGTATACTTTTGCGCAACTCTTTAGGGCTGTGTTACTTTTTTGTTTCCATGTTTAGATAGAACAGCTGGTATTTGTGTAAAGAATATTCTTTCTGCTAACAGGTGATCAGGAATTTCATTTGGTGGGTGTGGAATGGTTGATTTAAAAATGGGATGACTGCATATGACATTTGTGGGGTTTGTGAGCGAAATATGCTCTCTCAAGGGACAGCTAGCTGTGCTTTATTCTAAGCTCACAAGCACTTTGCTTAGATTATAACTCCCACAGTCCTCCAATCAACAAGGCATCATATTGGCTGCAAAAATATGGCATTGTGAATGCAGAAAAGTAACTTTTCCAGGCTGTTCTGTGGAATCACAATGATTTGTGTTTGTTATGGAATGTCTGTATAGTGGAACATTTTGAAGCTTTAGTGGATTTTCTGGAATACGTTAAAAGACTCAGTTTAATGTTTTTTGTTCCTATTGTCATTAGTAAAGCTTCACAGTGCTGCTTATTCATGTTTCTCTTTCATGGGGCGGTGTGGGGAGTATACCTTTCTTAACATGCATGAAATTGGAATTCATAAATATTAGCTGTGTTAGCCTATAACAGCAAAACCATCTAACATGCAGCTCCAGTATGTTTTGTTTTGTTCTTTGCATCCTAATTTCAGTGTATGTAAAGTGTATTTCATAGTCTCAGTGTAGGAATCTCAGTGGAGGAAGCCCATCAATGTGGGTGCATATTTCTTGGCTCCTTTTGCCACAAAGAACGGGACTTTCCATGAACACAAGAGTTCCACGTGTGATCTGAAGCGTGAGTGAGGCTCCGGATTCTAGCTCAACGACTAGACCAACGTTGAAATCCATTCTGTTTTTGCAGATTGGCTCATATAAGACTGTATTCCTGGAAAATTTATTTATATTGCACAGTACAGTACTCTGCTGATTAGTCAATTAAGTGTTCAGCTTTATGCACCCCGTAAAATACTCTCTGCAGCCCTACCTGTGCTTTTACATTGTCCCTGAGGAGGGACCACCATGTGTTAGAAGATTCCCTTGGGGCCACAAGTAGTTCTGCCAACACCAGAACTTAGAACTAGATTTTGGCACAAAGCCTCGGAAATTTGCACTTTTGTCATGGAAAGAGAAGCCCTTAGGGGCAAATGATTGAGTGCTTTGTAAAGAGATGGCAATTTTTGTTTGTTTTTAATAAGGATTTTCCTCTGGAAGTCTTTCAAATAGAGGACTCTCATCTCTAAAAGAAGGCATATGGCTACCTTAAGTTTGGAGCCTGTTGATGTTCCTCAGGTGGTCAGATACAGAGTGAGGGCTGTGCTAGGTGATGAACCCTGTAGTAGTTAATTAGATTCCTATGTTATTCCTAGCCATATGTTTAAAATTTGCATATTAATTTGATGCTGGCAAAGTTAGATGGCTGGCTGGTAAAGAAGATTGAGATAGAGGCCAGAAAGAACATTGAGCTAGCTGAAAACTAGAGAGCATTATGTCTGACTCTCCTGATATAGGTGGCATGCATCATGACCCCTTTATGCTTAAAAGAGGAGGCTGTATCATCCAGATAGTCCTTTCAGCCACAAATAGTGGAATATTTTAAGAAGTGGGTGTGGTACGCTACTCTCAGTTTTGCTGCTCAGTTTTCCAATAAGGCTTTCTTGCTGATCTGTGTTTGTTCAGCAGTTTGGTTAATGATCCCTGACAAAACTGGGGGGAGAGAAGTCAGCTGGCACAGAAAGGTACAGCATTTTTCAGTACTGTATTTATTGTCAAATTGAGCAGAAAAGATTTTATGTCCACAGGTCTTGGGGGCAATTTGGATGGCATTTCAGTATGACATGCATTATTGACATTATTTATGTAATACCCTCAGTGGGGCAATGTGCTTTATGGAATATGTGTCTCGTCCTGAGGGGCCTGCAGTCTAAAATTCTGTACAAAGGAACCCGGAAACAATAATACACAGTTGTTTCAGTTACTTGTAGTTAGCCTTAGAACTCAACCAAATGCTGTGTTACATAAATACTGTAGTATGTAGTGTATTGGGGCCTGATCCACATTGGGACCACTGTTAAAGGCTGGCTGTGCCCTAGCTGTTTTTTTCTTTCTGTTGTAAAGGCAAAAACCACGTAGGAAAAATTGTTGGAGGGGAGAGGTTTAAAATTCCCCTACCTGCGTACTGTAGTCTCCGTCTGGATTCGGGTTTCACATGCTTAGAAGCAAGCAAGGCCAAAGTACGGTGTATGTTATGTATAACCCATTATAGAACTGAAATCATGTTAGCACTCAAAAATACTGTAGTCTCAGTCTGGATTCGGGTTTCACATGCTTACAAGCAAGCAAGCAAGGCCAAAGTATATGTTATGTATAACCCATCATAGAACTGAAATCATGTTAGCACTCAAAATATGTGATTGAAGTGGACTTGCACATCTGTGAAAACAAACTTGAAGGCATGGCCCGTGATCCATGGCTTAGTGTGAGTGGCCAGCACCCATGGCAAGGCAAGTATTGCAGGGTGTGGGTCACATTCTGGCTCAGTGATGCAACGTGTCGGTGAGATGGGGATAAGGTGGGAGAAACACACACACCCCGCGGTAGTGCTATGAAGCTGCAGGAGGGGTGTCCCATGTACCCCTAAGTGTTATATGCCCAAGGTGATTGCCTCTGTGCAAACCCAACTACGCCACTGTCCATGATTAACTCACAAAGACCAGTCAGAGAACGGAACAAGCTAATTCGTGAAGTATGAGTGCTGAGAAAATCCACCATGACAAATCATATAGTTTTGATAACTAAGGAATTCTGTCATCTAATGACAGGGTTATCTATAATGAATAGCTGGCCTTAAGGTGGGGCTTTGCTGCATGTTAAGCATTTATCATAAGAGGGCATGGAAGCCAGGAGACATACAGTACTGAAAATACTTCATGGAAAAAGATGATCTTACGTCAGGTATTTAATTAGGATAAGAAAGGTGGCATCATGTGCTGGGAGTTCTGAACATGCGGCACAACAATGGAGAAAAGGAGGATCTCCAGCTGGCAGACGTGGGTGCAGCTGGAGGAGCGAAAATATACTGACATTTAATGTATTGGGGCATGAATGGAGATATAGCACACAAAGCAGTGGAGGGCTCTGAAAGCAAGGATAAGGGTTGTGTACTGGACCCAGAAATGGGCATGAATCAGAAGCTAAGGGGGAGAGAGAGAGATTAATAATTTTAGCGAGAATGCTAGATGGAGGGATAAAGTAGTAAGGTAACAGAAGAATATAGAAGAGAAGATTTTAGGAGTGCTAGTTATATGCAGAATACATCATGTGAAAGGCCGGACTGGATGAATCCCAAGACGGAATAAAGAATGCCGAAAGAAATATCAACAACCTCAGATATGCAGATGATACCACTCTGATGGCAGAACGTGAGGAGAAATTAAAAAACGTCTTAATGAGGGTGAAAGAATGGTCTGAAGCTCAACATTAAAAAACAACAACCAAGATCATGGCCACTGGTCCCATCACCTCCTGGGAAATAGGTGGAGGCAGTTACAGATTTTACTTTCTCGGACCCCATGATCACTGCAGATGGTGACAGCAGCCACGAAATTAAGAGACACCTGTTTCTTGGGAGGAAAGCAATGACGAACCTCAACAGCATCTTAAAAAGCAGAGACATCACCTTCCCAACAAAAGTCCGCATAGTCAAAGCTATGGTTTTTCCTGTAGCGATGTATGGAAGTGAGAGCTGACCATCGAAGAATTGATGCTTTTGAATTGTGGTGCTGGAGGAGATTCTTCAGAGTCCCCTGGACTGGAAGGAAAACAAACCTATCCATTCTAAAGGAAATCAAGCCTGAGTGCTCACTGGAAGGACAGATCCTGAAGCTGAGGCTCCAATACTTTAACCATCTCATGAGAAGAGAAGACTCCCTGGAAAAGACGCTGATGTTGGGAAAGTGTGAAGGCAAGAGGAGAAGGGGACGACAGAGGACAAGATGGTTGGACAGTGTCATTGAAGCTACCAAGATGAATTTGACCCAACTCTGGGAGGCAGTGGAAGACAGGAGGGCCTGGTGTGCTCTGGTCTGTGGGGTCACGAAGACTCGGACACGAAAACACATCTAAACAACAAAAGTGAGAGATGGGTTATGGGGGTTGACTAAAGTTTTTTCAAGTACACAGAATGAAAGGGCTTACTTCATTCAGTCAGTGATCAGTTTTACAAGGGGAGAAACCTCTCCATCCCTTCTGAAATCATTTTATGAGTGTGGCCCATAGTACTAGTGTCCATTTCATGTTTAAGGTTCTGTCCGTATGAGGCTAGAGAATGTGAGGACCTGAGACACCACTCTATAGCCTGTCATGTGCACAGTGTCAGGCCATTGGTGGAAACCACTGATAGTTCCCTTGATGAAACAGTTGATGGATGAACTGAGTCTCCATGAATTGTTAGGAGGGTTAGAGAAAACTGACTGGAGTGATGTACACAAATGGAGGTAAATAATAATATGTTTAGCATTTTAGCTTTTACCTGTTTCCCTGCTTGTGATACTTTAGTTTTTTCTTGAGAATAGATTGGCTTGAGATAGAGTTGACAAGGCCAGGTAAGAAAATACTGCTGCTTGTGCTTTTTTTTTGGGGGGGGGGGGGAAAAGTAATTGGATTTAGACACACAAATATTTATAAGATTTAGGAATCTCATTAGAAGGTGGGGAATTTACTGAGCACTTTCCCAAATCCAAGTGTAGATAACCTGATTTAATTATTTCTTCTTTCCAAACCTTGCTTTTCCCTCCTTGTGCAGATTTTGTTTCTGACTGGTCTCCTATACATGATGCTTCCCTTCACGGGGGACTGCTTGCCCTGAAGAAACTCATCCATCAGGTATTACACTACTGGGAAGATAAACATGCTGTTTGCCTTCCTCATTAAGCCATCTGTTGAAGGTACACTCTATTTTATGTGGTAAAGGAGCAGGGGTTGACATATGCTTTCCCCTCAGAGAGAAATATAACACCACATCTCTAGACAAATAAAGATGGTCTTTCTAAAGTAATAACATATATATTTTTACATATATTTACAAGGGGTGTCATGAAACTTGTGACTTGGAACAAGAAATAGGATTTCTGCTCTCTGCGGGTAAAATATATGCCTCCCTTCTGCTGTTTCTGGCCTGAACCATTAGACACAGTAAGATGATCGCATGTGCTAGTCAATGTGGTAAGAGCAGTGACAACAACCTCTGGCTGTTTTCTGCCCATTTCAAAACCACTACAGCTGGTATATCTTTGTTTGGATTGCACTGCATGTTGGAATAAGATGTTGGGTGCTGTTTCTTTTTCTCATTTATCCATCTCACACAAAAAAAGATGATTAGCAAAAAGTGCAAGTGTACCTGGGGACAGAGGCCTATTTTATAGCCTCTAACTACTCTAGAGTGAATCAGGCAAAAGCAAAAGAAAAAATAAATTTAAAAATATTGTGGCACCTTCAAGACTAACTACTGAATTTTAATGTGAGTTTTCATGGACAAACATCCACTTCCTCAGAGTGGAATGCTAAAGTGAAGCCACTTTCCTACAATTCCTGTGGCACAGCATTATTGGGAAACACATCTGCATCCTGCAGACATAAGATTGTTGATTAAAATGTACGTATCAGCCATCTCATTTCTAGAATAATGTTTTGAGTGAACCAAAAATAACTGTGTTTCAGAGCTGCCCTTCACATTGGTCTTATGCTCCCAGAACATTGATAATTGGGAGTCAAGCTAAATGAGACACTCAAGTCCTAATTCAAAATCAGAGCTCTTTTAAGTGAAGATGTCTGTTTGTCCTATTACACGTTTTTCTCTCCTCCATGTCTTGCAATGACTTTGTTTTGTGATTGGTCTTCAGGACATAATCATGGGCTTAATTTGCAAGTCTGATTACGCAGGCACATAGCTTGGAGGGGGCCCATCTGCTATACTAGGACAAACATACTAACAGAAACAAATGTATAATACTGATCTGCCTAATACTTTGGTCAATTGCTTTGGCAATTTAAATATCAGATTTGTGAAATATTACAATTTTCACTAATGAAAATTTCTGTTATTATTATCAGGGAGCCAGTGTGAATCTCATGACAGCAGACTATGTATCTCCTCTTCATGAAGCTTGCTTAGGGGGACATTCTGCATGTGTCAGCATTTTATTGAAGCACGGGGCCCATGTAAGTATCAAAAGGTGGCTTAAGTTTTTGTATATGCAGGAGAAAAGAACAGCTTGCCAGAGCGTGCCTAGTAGCTCAGGAACCTGAGCTTGAAAAATGATTACCTCTAATTTTGAATTTTTGGCCAGACTGACATGGTGGGAGGAGGAATGGGGGAATCTTTCTAATTCCCTACCAGAACAATCCATGGCAGCCAATGTTACAATCAATATCCTGACATTTCACATGCTATCTGTAAAGCTGATTTGGTAGCAACAGCTCATTTTTTTTGAAAAGAGAGCTGCAGCAGCTCCAAGTCTTTTGGGAAACCATGCGCTTTTATATTAGATATGTGAGTGTGATCGCTTTGTAGTGGGGAAAAATGCACTCCAATAATATTCAGAAACTTTCAGCTATACTTTGAGGGCTGAGCCTCAGAACTATTTCAGACATAGTATTTGTTCTCCCTTAAAGCCCTTGAGAATTGAGCACTGACGTCACCAGAATTTTTGTGACATCCAAACAATGTTCTTTTTACTTTGCTTTGGACAAAGTTTTCCACCTAGTTCCTGCACTTTTTCCCCCTCTGCCCTAAAACCATGGGTTCTTTTCTTGTGCTGCTTTGTTTAGCATAATGGCAATTCCTGGGCATTTTAGTGCTAATGCACAATGAAAACCAGGAAGCAGTGATCAAGAAAACCTATGGAGGTACACATTAATTGTAATCAATAACAGTGAGCATTTGTTGGACCCTGGCAAATGCAAGTACGGCACTGAAACACTGTACTGCAAGACAGTTAACAATTAGGATGCAAGTCCTGGTAAATCCTGTGATTCTCCATCACCAAATGACAGCAAAGGAAGCAAAATAAGCTGGAACAAATGCTGCATGGGGAAGAGCCTTTACTTCTGTCTTGTCTTAAATATAAAGCTAGTTTAGCGGTGTATACTGACTTCTTCATTTTCCCAAACATCTTATTATTAATATCAGTAAAAACAATTTAAGGCTGTTTGCCGAACCTATGTTTTAAAGGTCCACGGTTTAAAAATATCAACCAAACAACTAACTGCATCACTCCTTCTAGGTAAATGCTGCAACTATTGACTGGAATACTCCATTGTTTAATGCTTGTCTTAGTGGCAGTGCAGACTGTGTGAACCTCTTACTGCAGCATGGAGCCAGCCCACATCCAGCGTGTGACCTAGCTTCGCCTCTCCATGAAGCTGCTCAGAGAGGTGAATGTGTCAGCAGATACACATTTTTTTCTGTGTTAACAGGAAGGAGGTTTGTCCCTGAAATAAAGAAGAGGCAATCAGTCATTTATGAATCTATTGTTTACTTGAAATCCCTGGAATTTATGCATGGACTACAAATAAATTCAAAAACAGTGGTTTAATTATAAGTGAAGCTTTTCTTTTTCTTTGCCAAATACAGGATGTGATCATTAACATAGATCATTTTTATTGCTCTTCTTAGTGCAATATTTAATTATTCTTAGTTTTCACAGTGCTTTTATAATTGTCGTCTGACATATGCTTAGAAGAGCCCCAATCTTTCGTACCTGTGGAATTTATATCTAGCTGTTTTTCAGCGAGGGCTAACTCTATGGACTGGTTTTTCTCTCCAAGGGCGAAGCAGAGTATCAACTCATGGATGGGATTTTTCACCTTTTAGATTGATTTTTAGATTGGAACTACAACATAAGTTTAAGTGCCTATTTAAAATTAACATAAATATTTAATTTTCCCATTTTGACATAAATGTAATTTAGTTAGTCTTTTTAGCTTATTTGTTATTAATTTAGCACGTGACAGTTTCCTTCTAGCTTTCTGTTCTCTAAATTGGACAAACAATTCCAAATGCTAAAGGAAAAGAGGGAGGATGACAATGAAGTAGTTGGAAAAGCCTGTGAGTTATATCAACCTGCAGCTGCTGCATTTATAATGTTGAATTCTTAACCCGGGTCAGGCTTTAGGTTGTCTCATCTGACATATGGCAAGTCAGGAGTTTCAGAAGGGTCACTGTTCCTGGTAGAATTGGTCCGTTGGCTTTAATTTGATTTTTAATTGTGTATCATTCTTTAAAGGTCACACCAAATGTGTGGAATCCCTTGTAGCCCATGGAGTCAAGATTGACCACAACATAAAGCATCTTGGTACTCCACTTTATGTAGCTTGTGAGAATCAGCAGTTGGACTGTGCCAGAAAATTACTTGAGTCAGGTAATTTTTGGAAAGGTATATCCTTTATACTACTAGCAAACTCATTCCCCTGAAATGTGCGTCTCTGTATTGCTCAGGAAGCACAGGAAAGCCTTAAATTAGGCAAAAGTACAAAAGGATCTGGAGGGTGGGGGGAACCCATAGGGTTGAGGAGAATTCTGAAACAGACCAATGTGAAGTGGGCACAGAAAGCTGACTTTGGGGGTTTGGGCAAATCAGGAAACCTGGTGGGGTAGGAGACTTCCTGATATGAGTTACTGAAAAGAAGGCACATCTAAGTAGTTAGAACACAAAACGAGGAACACTCCACATCCCTTGTTTTCTTGTTAATTCACTTTGTTTCTTTATGCATTATGAATCCTACCTGCCAGTGCAGACAGTATTTAGCTGTTCATATAGCAAAACAAATCTTGCTACCTGTTTCCCCGAAAATAAGACCTAACCTGAAAATAAGCCCTAGTATGATTTTTCAGGATGCTCGTAATATAAGCCCTACCCCAAAAATAAGCCCCAGTTGAGTGAAACCCCGGCCTCCACCATTGTGCAGCAACCAGAAGAAGAGGACAGAACTGTATTTGAATAAATGTAGATGGTTGTACATGAAAAAAAAAACATCCCCTGAAAAGAAGCCCTAATGCTTTTTTGCGAGCAAAAATTAATATAAGACCCTGTCTTATTTTTGGGGAAACACGGTAGTCAAAAAACTAGGGATGCTCAGCTGAAAGCCAGAGACTGAAAATCTCCCTAGTAACCCTACCAAATTTCCCTCATAGAAAGCACTCCTGAGTGTATCTCCCATGGATTTTTCTAGGTCATGTTTAAAGTAAGCAGCTTGATACTGCACAAGCAAGGGAATTCATAATACTGTAAAGATAATTAGTGTGGTGTAAAATTCCTCATGAAGAATTTCTAATGCATTAGTAGGTCCTAAAATATATACTCTCATTGCAACCACTGAAATTAATATGATTATTCTTAATACATTAAATTTTTCACGATTGTCTTCTCTTGAGAGGGACACGCCTGGCCAAATACAGTACTGCTAATATGACTACAGCCTATTTCAGGATTAAATTGGACATTAAAAGGAATGGCTGTTCCCTACAATCATCCCTTCGGCCAGCCTCCAACAATGAGATTTCTTTAGTGGTCCGTGCCTCAGTGATCAGACCTGCAAGTGAAGCCTGTAACTCATGCTAAACTCAAGATACACACTATTATAAACTGTTTTTGGGGGAACAGCTCTTGGATTTCTCTTTTCCTGATGCCTTCCATCTTTCCCAGCATGAAAAGGCAGAGAACCCTCCCTTTTCATGATGTGTCCAAAGTAGGACAGCCTCAGTTTCAACATTCTTTGCTCCAGAGATAGGTCAGGCTTTGTTTGATCTAGAACTCCTTGTTTGTCTTTCTGGCATTCCAGGGTATCTAAAAACCTCTCCTCCAGCACCATATTTCAGACGAATCAATTTTTTAATGTCGGCTTTCTTAATTGTCCAACTTTCACACCCATACATGGTGATTAGAAATACAAGAGTATGGATGATCTTGGTCTCCAGTGACACATCCTTACTCTTGATGATCTTTCTAAATTCCTTCATTGCTGCACTTCCTAGTCTCAGACTTCTGATTTCTTGGCTGGAGTCTCCATGTGGATTGATGATTGAACCAAGGAATGCAAAATTTCTGACTTTTCAGTTTATTCGTTGTCGGTGTTAAAGTTGTGTAATTCCTCTGTAGTCATGATTTTTGCTTTCTTGACGTTCAACTGCAGTCCTGCCTTTACACTTTCTTCTTTCAATTTTCCTAATGGTCATTTCAAGCCATTGTTGCTGTCTGCCAGTAAGCTAATGTCACCTGCAGATCTTAGATTTATTGATCTGATGTCACCTGCAGATCTTAGATTTATTGATTGTCAGGAGTTAAATCAGGACAGTCAAGTGCTAAGGCACACCTGTGTCTCTGAGGACAACCAAGCCAACTAATCAAAGTCAAGGGGATTTGACCTAGGTTGAAAGTCAGCAGAGCAAATATGGCATTCCAGAGCTAAATCAGGACAATCAAGTGCTAAGGCACACCGTGTCTCTCAGGACAACCAAGCCAACTAATCAGGGAGTTCACATCAAAGTGAAGGGGATTTGACCTAGGCTGAAAGTCAGCAGAGCAAATATGGCATTCCAGGAATGCAGGAAACCAATAATCACCAATAATAAACATGTAGCCTTCATCAGTTTTATAGGCCCCTGCCAGACACGTTTATCAACAGTTGCCAGACTCATTCAAGGCCCAGCTGCAGTAGCTGAGAGGTTTCCTGAAGAAGTTCTCCTCACAGGGAGTCTCCTACTTCTGAAACCTTCTCTTCTGCACCTGAGTATATCTTCTGTGCAGTGCCATTCTGCACTGTCCCTCTTAGGTGCCACCTCTCTTGTGGCCTTGGAGTAGGTCAACCCCAGAGTTTTCTTCATGACTTCCCTCATCTGTAGGAAATTCACGTTCAGCTTCAGAAGACCTATGCTAACTTATTTTTATTGTTTTTTCTAGTTTCTCCTCACCTTATCTGAAAACAGATTTTTTAAAACAGTATTTTCAGAGATATCCTTGCCCTATAGGTTTAAACCAGTTAGAAAGCTAGGCCAACATGGCATCCACCAAAGAAATTTGGCAAGAGTAGTCTAGGAGGTTACTGAGCATTCTTTGTTAGTGTCTGTCAGTCCTTTCACAGAACTTAATTGTCCATGATACCTAGGCTACAAACCTACAAAGATGAACTGACTCAAAGGCATTTTCAGTTTAAACTAAACAAAATATGTATCTGTATATTCAGGAGGAAATATTTCATCAGTGTTAATGATGACATACAAAGCCCTAAACGGTTTAGGACCTCGATACCTAGCAGAACGCCTTCTTCCACCTAGATCTATTTGAGTCACTCGCTATAGCCAGGAAAGACGGCTGAGGGGCCTGCCGCCGAGAGAGGCCCAGAAAGAAAGAACAAGAAACCAGGCCTTCTCGGCGGTGGCCCCTCGACTATGGAACAGCTTGCTGCCAGAGATTTGCCTGGCACCCTCGCTGGGTGTTTTCAAGAGCCAATTAAAAACTTGGCTCTTTTGCAAGCCTTCCCTCCTGCCATTACCTGACTTTTACTTTTCTTGGTTTTGATGTTTATTCCCATCTTGATTATAGTATTATTGTAGGTTTTAATTGTTGTTTTTAACTTGTTTATGCACAATATATTGTGAGCTGCCCTGAGTAGACTTCTGTCTAGAAGGCTGGGATAAAAATCCAATAATATTAATCAATCAATCAATCAGTCAGTCAGTCAGTCAGTCAATCAATCAATATTTCGGTCTTTAAGTGACTCTAAACTGTCTAAGTAAACAAGAACTAACAAATAACAGGTCCAGCTATCATTTCTTCTAACTATTGTAATTTTATTTGTTTCAGGAGCAAGTGTAAATAGTGGGAAGGGTCTGGATTCTCCTCTCCACGTGGCTGCTAAAACTTCCAATGCTGACATGGTTCATTTACTCCTTGACTTTGGAGCAAGCACCAGGGCCAAGAATGCTGAGGGCAAAACCCCAACAGAACTGGCTCCACCCAACAGCCATCTTGCACAGATATTTCTGCAGAGAGAAGGTGCCCGTTAACCTTTGTTTCTAATTCACAGTCTATAATGAAGCTGATGGAAGCTTTGAAAGGACGGGATTTTCCCCGTCGTGTTGTTAACTCTGTCACACCAATGTTTGGTTGGCATTTGGAGTTTAAATAAAGCACTTCTCAAATACCTCTAGTTCTGATGAGCACTGATGTCACATTATGGCTTTGATGGGCACATGGAGACCGATGCACATTCAGGTGTGTGATTCCTTCTATGGACCACACCTTTGAGTTGAACCAGAAACTGATTTATTAAACTAGTCAAAGTGGGAACAGAAACAGGACCAAAACATAACTGAGTCTGTGTCAAATTCTTGTGCTCAAGTCAATTTTTCCCCTTATTCCACACTGAGGGGAGTGACTCTGACTTACAATAGCCCAGTCCATCCCCTATACTCCATCCACAAGGGAGCCTTTCCCTGTTCAAACCCCAGTCCCTTCCACCCCTCTTTAGCCTTCAACAGGGAGGGTCGGCATGCTTACAGTGGGAACAAACATGTGGGACTTGCTCTGGCACAGGATCCAGCTGATGCAGTTCCTCAGGCGTCTTTTCTTCCTCTTCTCTCGTTGGATCCTTCTTTGCTTTTTGCTCCCTCTGGGGTTTTTGGGATCATCCAGAGGCCCAATGAGTTTTCTTGACTTCTCTCCTTCTATATGAGGGCCAATATGGGAGTTTAGGATCCTCATGTTTAGTCCCCCTTTCCGTTGAGGACCCTGAAGAAGACTTTAAAAAAACCAACCTCCAAGGGTTTGCAGATGTAGTCCCACTCCCCAGGAAGTTCAGGGGAATCCTCTGTCTATTAGGTTCCCAACCACTCCTCCAGGATGTTTGCCCATGTTTCCTCATGGAGGTCTTCTCCCTCTTTTTCCCACTAGACTCTTTTACCTCCTTCGTCCCTAGAAGTTTTCTAGTCTCCCTTCTTGCCCTTGTTCTCAGGCTCCACTCTATTTAATGCCTTTTTCCTCTTTCCTTCTTTCTGCCTTTTTTTCCTGGGGCTCAAGCTCTAGAGGTCCTCCTTATCCCAGGGCCTTATCCCTGTTCACTAGTTTCCTCGACTCCTCCCCTTTTGGTTGCAAAGCCTCTTTTATACTGGCTAGCCACCTTGGGTAGACTGATTCCACCTTTTCTTTCTTTGGCTGCCCTCCAGCCCCCAAGATGGACAAAACTACATATGTCTTGGTTTGGATACTTCATTCCCTGAACCTCTGGGTAATGGCAACATCTTCCTCTGTGAGTGGCCCCTGAGGTCTGGGACTGGTCTGCATGGGTCCTGGGTCAGAGGTCAATGGACCACTGTCAGGAGCATCTTTGGCCCTGTCCTCACAAAGTGCCTCTGTGTGGGCCCGACTGTAAGTCTCAGTCAGAAGGAAATTGAACGATATCTTCCTTTAAGCCTGAATAATTGATTGTTAATATAGCTAAGGTTTTTGCCCATATTTATAGATTTGGTAATGAAGTGCATGAGTGAATTCAGTGGGAGGGTGTTAAGCGGAAGAAAAAGTTCTATATCATCAGTGTGTATATTAGAAATCACATTTTGAAAATCACACTAAATTTTGCTGGATGAGCACTTAATCCAAATCTGAAGTTGGCAGTGAGTTTTCAACTGGTACATCCTTATTCCCAACTACCAAAAAAAAACCTGTACAATTTCTACGCACTGGCTCAAATCCTGTTGTTTAGTGTAGTAAGTCATACTAGTGTAAGTCCATTGAATCAGTGGGGATTTGGTGAGTCATGTCCTGTGCCAGTTCTACTGAATCAGCATAGTGACTTAGCATAGTAAGTCACTCCTAGAGTAGGCTCATTTGAATCAGAATTGGCAGAGGACCTGACTTACCAAATCTGCATTGATTAATGAGCCTACTCTACTGCCACTTACAATGCTAAGCAACAGGATTTCAGCACTATGTACACAATGTATGATATAAAAGAAGTTCTTTCCCCCCCTAATAAATGTCCATGTCATACATGAAATGAATCTAAGATTTCCTATATGAGCTTGTTACACTATGACAAATTGTTGTTACAGTATTGTTTCATCTCAAATTGTTGATACGGTATTGTTTCATCCCATAGGCATAAACAAAACATTACATGTAACGTGCCTCTTGCTATCACTGTTTGGTGATTATACTCCCAGGAAATGCTTTGAAGGTCATAAACGTGAATCTCACTGACAAAGATCTTAAACCCTCCATTAACCATCTTTTCTTACCAAGCTTAGTAAGAGATGTACATTCATTTCACCGCTTGCTAAAAAACAATGTAGCTGCAAATCAGAGCTAAACGGTTATGAACGACCATTTTCAGTTCACTCTAGCCATAAACAAAACATTGGGTTTCACAGGAGCTGTCCTTGTTTTTCTGTTTCAAGACACAACATGTGTTTAAGTAAAGTAATCCCTTTCAAATAAACTGTTATTACTGGCAGTTGTTTCTCTAGAGACCCACTGCCACCTGGATGATAACAAATTGCGAATATTGAAATTTTGGATGCTGAGCACTTTGAGCAACTGGGTATACTTAATAGAAATAAATTAGATGATGATTTAAAAATACAGGAATTCTTAATAATCCTCATCATGTGCCGCCAAGTCACTTCTGACGTATGGTGACACTTTTTGAGATAGAGAGAATACACAAGTGGATTACCATTCCCTTCTTCTGGGGGTTCCCTGGAACTATGCAGCTTGCCCAAGGCCATACAGGTTGGCTGTACTCACTAGAAGCACAATGGGGAATCAAACATCCAAGCTCAGAACCCAGTGTCCATTCAGGTTCTAGATAAGAGGCAAGGATTGGAACACCCTTTACCCTTAGATACTACTCCCAAAAGAGAGTTTGGCTTCTCCCTTAGAGCTTTGCTCATTTGCCCAAAAATGTCTATTCTGGCCTCATGGTTCCACCGTGCCCTTGCTCTCTGCTTGAAGCTGATTGCTGTATGAACTCCGCATGTTTCTCTGTATGGGGTGGTTAGTGTTAGTCAGGCTCTGCCTTACTGACAGAATGGAACTATATGGCCTCCTTCCAGTTCCATTCCTCCTTTACAAGAAATCAGAGTTACAAACAGTTGTGACTTTGTTGTTGTTTCAAAGCAGATTGCTGTGTAGCAGATTTCACTGCCATCGCTCTGTGAATTTCTGTGGGTTTTCCTATCCCTTGCTTTTCTCACATGTAACAATTTGATTCTGACCTTCAGTGGCATCTTTAGTTTGGCATGCCTTCAGGTTCTGAAGCTCTCAAATGCTTTAGGAAAGCAGAGAACTCAGTACTGTACCTTTTTGCTTATTAATGCAGCTTCTCGGATTTGCAGAAAAGTAAATGCTGACCTTGTTATGCAGCAGTTTTGAGTCTTGTGAAAAACAAATACCAAGTTAGTAATGTCCTCCTTGTTTCTTTGGCCTTTTCCCCCCTCAGGGCCCTTTTCCTTGATGCAGTTATGCCGTCTTTGCATACGGAGATACTTGGGATCCAAACAACCACAGAGAATAAGTGAACTTTTGTTACCAGATGAGCTGAAACGGTTTCTTTTGTATCTTTGAATATTTTGTATTTGCTGCCGGATTATTAAAGTGTATCATTTCTTATCCATGTGTATTTATGCAGTTTATAGCACAAATATCAAAGCTTGGTTTTCACAGTGTCCCACTTTCCTCACCTAAATCCAGCTTTTAGTCACAACTACCGTAGACCTACTGAATCATTGATTGAATGGCTAGTCAGTGCTTCTGTCAATCTACTCTGATCAGAACCAATGGTTGGATTCAGCCCCTAAAATTATACATCTGTGCATTCGTTTCCATTATATGTACATATATGTACAAGCGTACCTATAATGACAATGTTTTTGAGGCCCAAAAATAAATAGAGATCAGGTTAAGAACCTTTGGCCTTCAGGTGTTTTGAATTTCATTTGTTATTTCGGCATAAACAACAAAGCCAATGGATAGAGACTATACTTCTATCCATACTTTAAAACAACTTTTTATGTTGACCACTGGGTGGGGTGGCTGTCCCTCCAGTAATGAACAATGTCCTTTCCAGAAATTTCCATTAATTCACAACCAATATCTAAAAATAGCTCCATCTTCTGTCCTTTAATCTCAGCAGGATTATTGTTTTAATCAAACACGTTAAATCCTTCTTCTTTGTTCTTTGTTATTCTTCATAAGTAATGAGAATAATGTTTATCGTAGGCAGGAATTTATTTCTTTATAGTATTGTTAATGTGGGATGAAAGTATTTCATAAGCAGATGCACGATAGACAAAGGGGAATATTCCCATTCGGATTGCAAACAGGAAACATAAAGGCACTTTTAAAACTTATTTGTGGAAATAATTTATATACAAGCTAAGCCCTTCACTGGAGTTCTATTCAGAGAGATTAATTACCATGATTAATGGTACCAAATATATAATTTGCCAATTGCTGATCAAAGCAAATTGCTGATCTCCAGTCTATTTATGTAATATATGTACTATCCACCAGCTTGCCCATTTGTTTGAAAAGTTGGGTGGGCACTGGGTATCTTTCTTTGGCTCATATACTTGTTAATGGAAGGACTGACACAAACTGGGTAATGGTCATGCATTCCAGGACTTTTATTTTCCCTTCTTTGTTGTCCACCTAAGGATTGAAGAACCTTGGTGGGAAAGTATGGTTTTATGCAACAGGAGTACAGTACACTAAGCCATCCAGTTATTCTGTAAGCCTACATCACTTGTTCTTTAAAATAAAGGGGGGGAAATGGAGAAATAGAAACTTATAGTACACCAATAGATTTTGTTCCCTCTAGGATCAGAATTATGGAAATTAGTTTTGCTTAGTGACATAAGATCATAGAACTGCGAAGTTGGAAGATACCCCAAGAGCTGTTCAGTCCAACCTCCTGCAGGAACAGAAAATCCTCCGCCAAAGCATCCCTGATAAGTGGCCATCTAATTTTGATTAAAAACCTCCAGTGCAGGAGAGCCCACCACCCCCTGAGGCAGTCCCTTCCACTTTCAAACAGCTGTTATTTTTAGGAAGTTCTTTTAAACGTTTGGGCAAAATCTCCATTATCATAATCTGAATCCACTGCTTCAGGTCCTGTCTTCTGGCGCCATAGAAAACACGTTTGCTCCATAATCCACACGGAAACCCTCAGATATTTGGAATTGGCTATCATATTGCCTCAGATTTCTTCAGACTAAGCATAGCCAGCTTTCTACAATTCCTCATGGGGCCTGTTTTCAGGCGTTTTACCATCCTAGTCACGCATGTCAGGACACATTCCAACTTGCTGATTTCCATGTGAAACTGTGGTGTCCAGAACTGGACAAAGTATTCCAACTGAGGTCTGACCAACGCAAAGTGCTACTACTATTATTATTTTTTGATCGGGGGACTGTGCTTTTGTTATTGCAACCTAGTACCATATTTGCTTTTTTTGTTGCTGCTGTATCACATTGCTGACCAATGTTTCACTTAAAGCCTACTAACACCTCTTGATCCTTTTCACTGTGCTACTACCACACCATCTGATGCATCTGATTTTTTTTTAACTAGATATAGAAATTCACATTTGTCCCTATTGAAATTCATTTTGTTTGTTTCTGCCCAGTTCTGCAGTTGGTCCACCTCCCACCAGGAAGGGAAACTGCTTTAAATGCAGTAGGAATCTATAGCATGTAAACAATATTAAAATCAGTGGAATTGTCGGGTTTATTTTCACCTAATGAGTTTATTTCAGCTAAAACTAGTTATGATTTGTGATTTAGGCTTAAGTCCAGTTGTTAATCTCAACTGAAGTAGACCCATGTAGTCAATGAGACTTACGCATGTTGACTTGTTGATTCAATGGCTGAAACCCAGTAATAAATCACAACTGATGGGAATTTAGTAAGTTCCTTTAATTCAATGGGCCTACTCTAGTTGTGCCTTACTGTTAGATTTCAGTTGGTGAGTCCACTGTATCTGGTACTAACCAGTGACTTTAGTCCTAAATTTGTTTGAAACCAAAGGGATACACGGATAATGACTAGTTCAGATGCCCTCTTGATGTTTGGACTACAAAATCCAGAATCCCATACCAGAACGCCTGCTGGCTGCAGCTAACAGGAATAAAAGTAGAAAGTATATGCAAACCACAGTTTAAAACTATCATTCTGAATGCACCGGAGAAGGAGTAAACATTGGACAGACTGGGGCTTGCTTCTGAATAAGCATGCATAGGATTGCATGGTATGACTTTCAGTTTTCAATGGTGCTTATGCAGGATTAACTTGGACTGCAAGCCACAGTGTTAGAACCAGGGTGCCAGTTCACTGAAGGGCCTAATCACAGTTTTTATAATGGAATTCTTATCTGTGGCATGTTGACAGGGTTTGTTTTCCATCCACATTTTCGGGCTGTTGCACCAGGCTTTTCAGTTGAGGCTACATACATCAAACTGGCAGGGCCATGCATTAAACAACGTGAAATGATGTAATTGACGCTGCCCAGTGTGGTGTAGTATGTCACTGAGCAATCAGTACCTAGGAAACCAAAAAAAGGTGTTTAATTCTATAAGCAATAATTGTGCACATTATCTATTGACTGGATCCTCTTCCAAGTGGCATTATGAAGTCCTTGGGGGAAGCCTTTAATGGCAAAAACACTGTGATGTTGTTAGGAATGGGTCACAGAAATGAAAACACCGTTCAGTTTTCTGAACATTTCAGGGCTTACTCTTTGCCAGTGGATAGTCAGGGCTAATTGCACAAAGCATTTTTTTTTTTACTTCTTGACCACTGATAATGAGTATTTTTGTCACTGCAGATGGAAAAGTAGAAAAGTCAGTCACCTTCTTTGGTGGGCCCAGCTCCAAATTGAAAATGTTGCTGGAAATGCTGCATTTGCAATACTGGATTGGGAAATGGACTGGATTAGAAGGCATCTGTGGCTGGGAGTTTGATTCCCCGCAGTGCCTCCTTGACAGGGGCCGGACTTGATGCTCTCTTCCGCCCCCACAGTTCTAAGAGTCTAAGACTATTCAAACAATTGCTTCATCTGTGATGGGGAGGGAAGTAATTAATCGATATAAAAGAAAAGCCTGCAATGTATGCAAATACCGACACTCCAATATACAAGAGATGCCCAGCCATGTGCAGAAATTGCCTTTGGAAGGAAATTATTGTAGAATGTTCTGGAAAATGAATTGTTGAGAATACACGGGAAGCTGCTTTACACCTCTGGCATTTCAGGCCAGAGGTTTCCTCAGCTATACATGGAGATGTTAGGGATTGAAACAGGAAACTTCTGCATGGAAAATTCTGCACCGTGGACCCTCCCACAGGGGATGCATTACTCATCTGGGAGAAAACTGCCCTTGTATATCTCAGGGGGAAGAGGCTCCTCTGTCCACCAGAAGGAGGAATAGGAGTTTGTGCATTACTAGCACATCTCTCCTGATTTTCCTAGTGGATGTGAGGTATTCTTGCCAGGACTGGCCCTACCATTAAGGAGAGTGAGGAGAAGCCTCAGGGAAGTAGATTTCAGATGTCATGGAGGTCAAGGTCAGAAAATTGTTCTTCATTTTATTTGTTACTAATGTATTTATTACTGTATTTTAACTGCCAAATCCCCTATGAATACGCAGTGGAAGTGTTATTAATGTATTTATTACTGCATTTTAACTGCCTGGAATGGGAAAAGACACAGGGGATGTTTCTGCCATGTGTCCATAAAGAACGTGGTTGGTTTTAGAAATGATGAACCTTGTGGTAAAATTGCTGCTGTGCTCTAGCTCAAGTAGAAAACTGTTTTCTGTTGACTTTCCTCTGGCCTTCCCTCCAGCGCCATCCAAACGTGTTGTCTCATTCAGGGATGGGACTGGACAGTGTAACCTGAGGATGTTCTTCTGTCTTGTTCTCTGGTTTGTGTAGATAGATATCTAGGTAATGCAGATCCTAAGCAACTTACTCTTATTTAGTCTGGAAAAACACAGTGCTCTACTCTGCTCAGGACTGGTCTGGACACTTGGGGAACCCCACGTCTCTCTCAGAAGTAGAATTACTTAAAAGAGTTTGTTTGAGGTGATGTCGAAGAATGATCCCAATTATCATCTTGTTTTGGTCCACAGGAAAGAAAAGGAAAGATCTTGGTCAGGCAAAATTATCTGGCTTTACCCATACCACCCCTAGTGTAGTCAGTGGGACTTAAGAGCCTTATAGGCCCCTTCCCACTCAATTATCCTAGGATTTTATGACATCGCACTCTTTAAAATACAAGTGTGAAGGAGGTCAAAGAGAGAGTGTGCCATCCCAAGAGGGAGAGAGGGAAGAGGGAGTAAGAAAGCCAGAAGGTACCGGAAACGGACTCAAAGGAGAACATGATTAAGGAGGGGGAAAGAACAGAGCGAAGTGGGAAATTTGAAGTATTTCTGGTAGACGAGCGCAGGAGTAAAAAGGGGGAGGAGCAGGAACTGTCAGTTTCGGAAGAGACTACTGTATAAGTAGCCAGGGAGAGCGTCAGTTCGAGGTAGAACTAGAGTTGTGGGAGTGTAAAAGAGAGCTGGAGAGGCTGAGAGGGTATGAGAGGGTGAAGACCCAAGAGCTACTGCGTGA